CCTAAGGGCATCCTGTAAAAACTTTGATTTCCCTGCTTCTTCTTTATTCAGATTTAATGTTATGCCTTAAATTAATTTGGATCTTGTAGTCGTTTAGGAACTAGTGACCCCACTGCCATTGTGGATTTATTATGGGCAGGAAACTTGAACCCCAACAAATGCTTAATTTAAATGAATAGTGAAGACAGAAGGTGTTACGCCTTATTCTGATAGCTACCCTACACAGTAGGTTTGAGTTATGTTAATTTCATTCTTTTAATGAAAGGGATCCATTATCTGACACTGAGCAGGTCAGTGTTTCTGTCTGATAGCTGGGTTAAAGTTTAAGTGCGAGGGACAGCGTATCCTTGTCATTTTCCTTGACCTGTTGGCCTCGCACATAAACACAAGCACGTGCAAACGGGCATTTACACAATTAATTTTAGGATGATGGTATACCATCAGCATCCTGGTTCCACAGTGAGGTTCTCTGCTTATTGTACTGAACCCTGGGAAGCAATGGTTTCAGGAAGGAGAATCAGGGAGTGCAAATGAATTAAACCATTACTATGCTTTTAAATAAAGTGGGGAATTACAGACTTACATACAGTATACATGTACGCATTTTTACTTTTTTGATTGCATTCACAGATCTTTGTGGGGACCTGAAAATGGTCCCCACAACATAAAAAAACAGGTTTTTATTAAATTGTGGGGGACATTTGGTCCCCACAAAGTAATATAAACCGAAGCCACACACACACACACACACACGCACATGTACGGTAAACATATCCTTATGGGGACATTTCAATGGGAAAAATGCTAACGCTAACTACAGTATGACAACCTTAACCCCTACCCTGCCCTAACCATAACCATAAGTAACCTAACAAAATACAAGAGTTTTTGCATTTTTAGTTTTTTCATAGCAGTCACCGTTTTTTATAAAATAGAGTTTTCCCTTATGGGGACCAGGAAACCGGTCCCCATAAGGGAAAAAAAATGGATATTTATCACGTTATGGGGACATTGTGTCCCCATAAGGATAGGTAAACCCGCTCGCACACACGCACACACACACACACACACACACAGTATAAAAGCTTGGATAATGGAAATAGGGTGACATTTAGATTAGGGCAGGGTAGGTAAGAATAATTCACATTTTGTGGCTTGGCCTATTTTTAAAAAAATCGGCACAAACTAAATAATAAACTAAATATAGTCGCTAACTAAATACAAATACGCCTGTTCATTCAGGAGAAGGTGTTTTATTTTGTTTGTACGGTTAACAAACATTCACATTGGATTTGGGATGGTCGATTACACACTGTCTGCAAGCTTCATTGCATTTCACTCGTCTGTCACACGCATTTACATCGTGCACCCCGGAAGGCACCTGCCACTTGTGTACTCACCCGAGTGCGAGTGTGACACTTTTAAGGCACTCCTCGTCTCCTCTGTATGGTGAAGAGAAGCTAACCATCATTTTTGCTATTATTTTATAGATGATGTGGGTACACACTAATTCCTGAACATAATATAGTTTGGATAAAATAATTGAGAAGATTAAATTTTATTGAATGTGGTTAGAGATGGAGCAGCGAGCTTAAATGGTGATTTAATCTTCTATTCAAAGTGTATTAAAACTGACGTTTTATAGAAAACACTGAGGACCTTTTTAAATGAGTTTTTGCAAATATTAGGCCTGAGAAGGATGAATGAAATCCGACTGTTAAATCCAGGGCCCTTTAATACATCTGGTAAAATTATAAATGTTGTAATTTAGTGTAAACACAGCTCTATAGCACTGTGTAACTAGATCATGGGTCCCCTGACACACAGAAGCTGAATTTTAATTCTCTTGTTTGGGGCTGTTGTAATTACATTCCTGAGTTTTCACATTTGTCGTTTTAAACTTAACTTCTATGCGAGTTCAGAAACTTTACTAAATATCTAATGGTATTTCCGGCTGTACACTTCCGAAATACCCGCAAGTCGATAACTGCGACATGTCGTAAACGCTCATTAGCTGAGCATCTCCTTCAGTTTAATGCCTGAAGGCACAATTAAGCTTTTATTATAAAGCACCTCAGTCCTGGTCCTGCATTCTTATTGACTAGCCAATATTCTAGGCACCTAACTGCAAATTGTAATCAAGTCTTGACTTTCAGTGAAGCAGACCTCCACTGATGAAAAACATTATCTCTGAAATCCAAAGGAGAACATAAAGACTGGCAGTTGTCATGTCAGCAAAATGACATGGAGGTTTTCAGCTTCTATCCGAGATGGTATCGGACTAACTGAAAAGTTGACAGAAAAAAAGATTTTCTAGCAACCGTATGCACACACACACACACACACACACACACACATATATATATATATATATATATAACCATGCACACGCACACACACACACATACAGTGGTAAAGAAAATTATGTCATTGCTGGTGACATCTGTTAATCTTTCCATGGTGCCACAATCCCATAGTGAAATGTGAAGGTCATGTGACGTCTATGAACATATAGTTACAATACAAAGCCATCACAACTGGGCACAATTATTATAAAGGCAAATTTGTTATAACAAACAGGATGCACCTTATATGCTAGTAATGCTGATTCTCCAACGACTACATGACATTTTCTCTGCTTCATGCAAATATAAATATGCACATGCAGTGTTTTATATGTTATGCAAAATCTGTTTGTCAGCTTATTTACATAAAATGGTCTTTAACCTCTTGCCATGAAATCTGCTCAATTCAGCAGATGAAGAGCAAAAACACTGCAGTGTTTTTTTCTTTTTTTTATCCAAGATTTTATTCTGCATGGTTGAAAAACAACTCCAGAAAGTACGCAAGGTCAAGGCAAATGAGTGGGAATATAAAAGCAGATAAGAACAGACAGAAATGGAAGACAATGCAGGAGAAAATAAATAATCTGCTGGGTGTTATAATAGAAATGTCAGGCTGCCATGCACCCGGCACTGTGAGCGGTACACGTGTCCCCCTCTGAATGTTCACCCCAGGGTTGGTAACTGGCGATTCCAACGCAGCTTCAGAGAGTTGGGGAATCAACACAACCTCATTACTGGTTTGGAGAGCAGGTGACTCCAATGTAGCTTCATCGAACTGGGGAATCAGCACAGCTTTAACATCTGTTTTTTAACATCCAATTGGGGGGTGTCAACACATCTCCAGTGAGCATGTAAATCAGCACAACTTTAACATTGATTTGGAGAGCTGATGATACCAATGCAGCCTCAGTGAGCTGGGGAAGTCAACAGTAATTCACTGTGCAGCTGGACACAGCATGAAAGAGCCAAATGATACCAAACCAGCCTCAGTGAGCAGAGTGATACCAGTGTGGCATAATTGAGCTGGCAATGCCAACACCACTGGGATGTTGCAAGCAAGCCACAGAGACAGAGTCTCTCAAAGAGATCCAAATGGACAAACTCTCTCTCTCTCTCTCTCTCTCTCTCTCTCACACACATATTTGTATTCATATCTTTCTGGGGACGATCCATTCATTTCTTTGGGCAAAACCCTAACCACAACAATGATAACCTTAACCCCTACCCAGCCGTAACCTTAACCATGAATTACCAAACAAATTACAAGACTTTTTAGTTTTTTTGATGTTTATAAAATTGAGTTTCCCTCATGGGGACCAAAACAATGGTACCCACAATGCCAAAATGACAGGTTTTTATTTGGTCTCCACAATATAACATATACATGACCACCACCCCCCCCCCCCAACCACACACACACACACAGGGGATCACACTTTTTGCAAAAGAGAACCAAGCTTAGTTAAACAGCAATTCATGAGGCTGCAGGAAATACCATCCAGTATTAAAACATTAAAAAATAACAATAAAAGAAAACCTGCTTAGAAAAATAAGATTAACATTTTTTCCCCAGTCATCTATATCATACAGTTTTTAAGGACACTTGTGTCATATTTTAATGGTACTGGGCTTAAACAATTCATAGCTCTATAGTGTGTGATAATCCTACCATGATAACCATACCTTTAACATAAAACCGCTGAGAGTAATGGAAATGCTGGCAGAAATTCAATCAGGATGCCCATTAAACCAATGGGTTTATAAGAATTATGTCAGCCTTTATGGAGAGTAAAGCTCATGAAAGAAATGGTGCCATTGTTTAAAACCTGTTCCCACCAAAGAATGCAGATGTATGTCAGTATTAATTCACATGAGTATTTCATTATGGATTTTTATATATTAACTTGAAGCAAACTGTATATCGTACATAATTATAAAAGTTGGTACAAATCTGTGTTCTCAAGAGAGGCCAAAGCTATAAATGAAACCTAAATTTGAGACAGGATGAAAAATTCACTGATGATGGAGAATTATTTGTCTGTGGCTATGGGTCAGTCCTAAGAAGTAAACACAAACAAGCAACTGTATAATTCATGGAATAATTTATACCAGCGAAATTAGCGTCTGTATGAACAGTAGGATAAATTGCTGTAATTTTCCAAGGGTAGTGAGAATCATTATTATCTGCCATCACTATACAGTGACTGATGTCAATTAATCAAATCACAAAAATATACTTGTTGGAATTAAGAAACTGTTTCAACAGAAATAACTCAAACTGCATTACATAGCTAGCCCACACTTTTTCAGAGCATAATGTATGTACAGTCAATGAAATATTCCACAAGTCTTAACATCCATCTCATTGATGCATTTATGACTCTTCCACTCAATTGAAATTACAAGCAATTTTCCACTTTTTCCTTTTATTAGCACAATCTATAAATCAAAAATTGGAGAAATCTTTCAAAAAGAAGTGATTTTGAGCTTGAAAATTATGCAACGCATATTAAACCAAGGTTCCTAACCAGCTGCTGGAGCTCAGGATGGTTTTGTGGTTTTAGCCGCAAAATGACTAAAATACTCAACTAAGAAATCATTTCTAGTCATGATTACCGATGTGCATTAATGCAGTGTAATAAGGCTCCACATATGTTCAGTACTGTGTTTAATAGTTTAGTCACGTATGCTTCTTGTACTGTTCATATGATTTCAGGTACAGGTAAAATTTTTGCATGAACAGTCTGTTGGGATGATCTCACTACAGTTCATCAAGTGTTTATTGGTAATCATCCTCTTGCAGACCCCCCAACCCAGAAACATCTCTCATAGCCATTCCAACCTGCAGCTTCAGCTTCACTTTTTCCATAACTATTCTGACCATGTGGCTTCAGTCTCCTCCTTCTAGCCATCCAGCTCCTTTAGGTCAGTGTTTCCCAGTCCAGTCCTTGGTCACCCACAGACAGTCCACATTTTTCTGGGAGCTGGGAAGGAGCAAAAATGGTAGGGAGCTTGGTGGGAGCAAAAACATGGACCAACGTGGGTCCCCGAGGACCGGATTATTGGGAAACACTGCTTTACCTTAATCTTTCATAGCCACTGTCAACCTTCAGCTTCCTCTCATAGCCGTCCATATCCTGTAACTCCAGATTTCTCTCATAGCTATTTTGCAACTACAATATTTATAGCCATTGTGTCACACTCTGCCTATCTGCCCCTCCTGTCTCCTCCCTGGCGTGGCTCTAACAAAACACACCTGGAGCTTGTTTGTCTTACCACTTGTTCCAGCCCTTTTGTTAAGCAATCCCAGCTGCCTCCTGTTTGTTCCCTCGTTAGTCTAGTATTTAAGTCCTTCCCAGTGCTGTGGATCTGCCATTAATGTTGTACTCCCATGTTCCCAGTGTCCTGCCTTTCCCTGTTCTCCCTATTTGGATCCCTTGTCATTCTGTTGATTTGCCATTTTCCCCTTTTTAGCTTAATAAAGTGCTTTTTGCTTGATCATAAGTATCTCCCACATGCTTCCTCCTACTGGTCACGACACATCGTTAGCTTACAAATATATTTTCTTATTTATATTATTTGCATTGCTACTTGATATCTTATACAATAATTAAATATGACTCAAAAGCAGGCACACCATACCAAACCACTCATGAAGCGTGTCTGATAATGAATTAATGCTTTTTGAAAATAACAAGAAATACTGAAGAGGGGAAAAAGTCTTGAAATACTTGTAGAGCGAATATTGAAATGTGCATTTTACACTTGTCTCGGAATCCAGTATGTACTGGTTGAATGCTTAAACAAGGCCTCCAATTCCTCACAGGTCCATGTGTCTCTGCGTTTCCCAGGTCCCAAGCTGGTAAATGAAATCAAACCTACAGCAGATATTGTACATGACATGTATATCCATATGCACGGTGTGGGTGAATGCTCCGAATAAGCAGCTGAAGACAGTGGTGGCCTTCGTGTCAGAGCTGCCTTCTAATTGAGCCACAAGCTCAGCCTGCAGTTTATACCCAGCATGCACCTGGATGCACATGCACACAGTGTCTTAGAACAATGTCCCATATGCCTCGCGCTAATCGCCAAGCTCTCCGTCTCCATCTTTTCGTACTGTCCTACTTAAATCCTCACAAAATTTAGCACAAGTTTCCCTAATCTCCACATAAACTGCAGAACAGACATGAGCTGCAAGCCCATCCTTCCATGTGTCACTATTCAGGGGAGCTAAGGTGAGAAGAAGAGACTATGAGGACTGAGGATTATGCTGCGAATTGTGAAAATTGTTAAAAATGTACCTCACGAAGAATTCCCAGCTTCCTCCTGCCACAGAATGTTTAAATCCTGATCAAAGCAAATAGAAAATGTAACGTATTGATGTCTCCCTTATTCAGACGGCAAAGCTCTGTGATGTATGGGATGAAAAGTTTATGTAATAAGTTTGGAAGGGTTTAAATGGCAGTGAATTCAGTGTATCAGCATTTTCTTATTATTATAAAGGTGCCTAGCTTGCAAAAGAGTGCATTTCAACTTGAGTTTTGCTGATTAAAAAAAAAGTAATGAAAAATATATAATCTCTATAAAATCTACACTTCAAAAAATGACAGACTGACGTGCAAGACTGCAAGTAGATATTTAAAAGCACAAACTTATTAAAACAGACCTTGCTACTTTGTCAGCCAAGTGCAATATTATAGAAATAAGAGCAAGCATTTTGAGTTGAATCAGTACATTGGGTTTGTCAAAAATGAAAGACTAATTACTTTGTTTCTGAAGAACGTTTATTTTGAGTTATCTGAAAAATTGCACTTACATATTCTTCAGATGAAATCCACTTCAAGGCCTTTCACTAAAGCTGGAAGCTAAGGTTGACCTGGGAGCAGATGATGTTTCGCTGATGAATTACAATACGATGTGCTACGTACACCTGCTCTCAGAGGTCCACCCTGTTTAGGCAACACAGAAGTGCATTCGCTATTTTTGGGCTTCATACCAAGCCCACAAAAAACCACAAACACTAAAAATGCTTATACATGTATCTGCAGTGATGATTGTTCTTTAACAAAAATATGCCCCCGCAAATGCAAGAGGGATCACATTCTTAACTGCAATCTTTAACCTTTAGAAAGACTTTTATTTTAAAAATTGCACATGCAGTATTGAAATAAAATTGAAATAAAGTAGTCTCCAAACACAAAGTTCTTAAAAGTCAAATCAGCTTTGTTACTTTTTAACTGGAAGATATTAAACATGATCATTTCCCCTTTGCACTTTGGATATTGTTTTTAGACCCTATATACTCTTTTGCTTCATGTTAACCTCATTATCCAGTCCTGTGTTCAGAACATGTGCACAAGAAAACATGGAAGACAATCCCAGAGGGCACAAGAAAGTGAAAATTGGCGTAAGATAGAACCCTTCAAACTCAATTCTGTTGTGCGGTAATGCTCTTCTATACTAGTGCCTGACTGTTGTATGACATTAAAAAAGAGCCATAGAGGTCTATATAATTACCTCAGGAGAACTCTATTTCCTTGTTATGATGGAGTTCTCCTCTTCATTTGTGTCATCTGGAACACCCACAGACCATAACAGAACATTCAGTCTATTACATGCCTGTTTAATAGACTCATTGAATGAGGTAGGAAACCTTAGTTTGATTGGCAGCCACGTCATATGTGGCCAGATGTATCAATGAGCTGGGTCCGAACTCGCAGATTGACTGGTAGATAAAACTTAACATTTACTCAGTCCTCTCAGTCAAACTCACCTGAAACCTGTGATCGCCGCAAAAGGAAAACACAAAAATTCTCACATATAATCAAGGCCATAACTTTGGTTAGAACATTGGAGTGGTTGAGGTCTCCACCGCTTTAGGAGGAGACATGATTATTGGGGGTTGTATTATCTGATTTTGATTTATTATTATTTATTTAATTTACCCCCATGCATATACCTATCTGTGCAAGCATCGTTTGATTAATATTAAAAATTCTACTACTATGACCAAATGAGAAGTTTCAGATAAATGACCAACAGCCCATTAAGTCACCCTTATTTATATATGACATTATACATACATTTTGTTTAGGAACAAAAGAAGAAGCAGGAAAACTATACACATGTTGTTGACTGAGATTTATAGAGCGGCAGGTGAACTGAGCTATCACTCTTAATTAGCCTAATAATATTGATAAGTACAAAAGTGCTTGAAACAGTTAATCTTCTTCTAGGAGCTTCTTGTTTTCTTAATGTCACCTTTGTCTGTCAACTAAAAAGACATAAATAAAAAATTCTACTGTCAGCCCAAGCAAAAAGCAAAGTGAGCATTTGTCCTGAAGTATTTCAAAGTCTTATTTATTCTTACATAACAGAATGGCAAAACAATCAGATAGTGCCATTAGATAATGAGATAATCTGAAAAGAGATTCAAGCTCTTTTCAGGCCTCAACAGACAAGGTATTTCTCTCTAAATGTCCCCAGAAAGCAGAGCTTTGTTCACATCCAGCAACTAGGACGTTCTCTGATTGAAGTCCAACCAATGACCTGCATTTTCTTTATCCTGGAATATGAACAAAAATAGGGGCTAATTCATAACGGCATCTGGATATGGCTGGATAATTAAGTACTCCTTTAGGACTTAAAAATATGGCACTGAAAATGTCGCCTAGATAACATGTACATTATTCAAGGACTTTGCCTTCCCAAAAATGTGCGTATACCTAATATGCAGCAGCAGGAATGACAAGAAGCGACAGGACCAGCTCTTGGAACTGAAGAAATTGTCAGTTACATGCACTGCCGGATCTGAAATTTTTGAGCACTCCATATTGTAACGTTTTTGCTTAAAGAGAAATGTCAATTGAAAATAAGCTAACAGAAGCATTTCACAAAGAAGGAAGATGAAGGAACAAGGGCGTCGTTAGGTCTGATCACCCGGGGCTACAGCCCCAAGTATTTTAAGCCTAACCCTTACTATTTTAGTCACGACGCTAATCTTCCTTCCTTCTAAAAAAGTCAAATCCCAGTTAAACTTGACTTAGCCCCAGATCTTTTCAACAGTTAGAAACTTCCCTATGAAGGAGACTTCGGACCCCATGACCCTGCACAGGACAAGCGGGTATAGAAAATGGATGGATGGATGGGTGGATGGATGGATGGAAGGAAGATGAAGCAATTCGTTGACACAAAGACAAATTGGCTACACAGCCAATCAGATCATTTGTAGGTCAAAAAAATACCTTAAATGTGATTGCACACTTCAAAAGACTTCTGGCCAAAATCGAACCTGCTGGCCAGAACAACCTGTTGCATACTTAAACAGCACTGCCACCTTGTTAGTCCTGTGTCATGTCTCAACCCTAGAGGGCGCAGAATGTTTTTGATGCAGCAGACCCGCATGCGCAGCGCAAATAAATGTAATGTGGTGAGCATGCGAGTTATTTTCGTAAAGAAGACGACTGATCTTTTATTACCAACCACTTCTGGTTTAATACTAGCAGCGGCACTGACAGGGAATATATCGATTTGACAATACTAACAGTTTCACTCTAACGCATTCTATGACATATTACACAGTTACAATATTTTCTACTAACAGAAATACACGAATACGTATATTAAATGTACACTATTTAAAGTGAGGTGCCGTGCGTTAACTGCATAATTAATCTTGCTGACCAATCCACCGGCATCATATTTATGTCATGGAAAGTGGGTGGGATAAGAACAAATGAAAAGGTTTGCATTGAGGAACCTGCACAGACAGTTCACTGAAACGGTTATCACTGCCATGTGCCTTGTCGTGTCAAAACAACGCCGACTTCGTCAACTTCGTCTGAAGTATATGGCAACTGCAACACATTACAAAATAGAATGCCTAGAGTTTTTTTCAGCTGTAATCACTTTAAAAGCAATTTTAATTAAAGAGTTAGCATATTTTTACATAACAAAAATTGTTTAATTTAATAATTTATTTTGCCATAGATTTTTTTTTACATTCTTTTTGTATTGGCACTGATTTAACGTCATCAAACATAAGGAACTACAAGCAAACTTTTGACTTGCAGTGTAGGTGAGTATTCATTTCAGGCAGGTTGAAGTCCACATATTGTGTAAGCTTTACATAGATCGGACAGCAATAAACCAGCACCCAAGATAAACAAATATACTGTAACTTTATATACTTTATCTGTAATTTGTTATGCAGGTCAATAATAACGCTAATCCTTATAGCCTCTATGGGCTGATGAATCAATACTCAGAGGTGTCTGCCTGAATAGAAAGTGAGAGCATGGATATGCAGACTGTTTACCGCCATGCTTACATGACTTCCGAGTAATGATTTGGATTGCGTTGTCTTAAATAGTGATTATTTCCATGCT